TAATAATAATAATACATTTTTTTCTTAAAAAACGAATGTGTTTTTAATGGTTTAAATGCTTCTGTTTAAGCAGAACTCATAAAAACCAATATTTGTTTTCAACAGCAGTCTTTATGAGTTAAAACCACAGCAGAGTAGCCATGAGTCATTGTTTTTAAAACTAAAAGCATGTCCTTTTCAAAGTGCTCTCTCAATATGTCGTTTTTTATTCAGTTTCATCCATTATTGAGAGAGAGAGAGAGAGATATTAAAAAGTGACCGTTTTTGTGCCTTCCTGCTTCTGTCCTGCTGTAGTGATCATTAAAACAGCACAGTGCTGCTCTGGAGAGCTGTTTACATGATACCAACTTCGTCTACAGCTTGAGAGTTGCTCTGATATCAAAAGTGTAGAGCTCAGCAGAGTAACACTGCAAAAAAACAAAAACATGCAAATCAATGCATCTGGCATTTCCACTCGCACTAAAAGAGAGAGAGAGAGCGAGGAAGAGATGGCACACCGCTCAGCAAGACACTGAAATGAATCCAATTTAGAGCTGCCAGGGGAGCTCTGCCCGGTCCTGCTCGAGGACGGTGTCTTGCTCGCCTGTCAGTCAAGACGTTTTAAAATTTGACTCCAAAGGACGACTCCTGTCCTCAGGCGCCTCTCACATCCGACCGGGGGTGACGGCCTTGACCAGCCGCCGGCTAAAAACGGCTCCCTTGTACACCGAGCTGAGTGAGAATAGGGGCACAGAGATTTATCCATCCACTCCCTGCTGCTCTGGGCTGAGGTGGTGGCGGCGTGGTGGTGGTGGTGGCCGACAATCCACTCAGACGTGACACTGAGAGGATAGAAGAGCCCACTGACAGCTTAAACTTACAGACTGCTGCCAAAGTGATGGAAGATGGTGGCTTGTTAATGGGGCCTGGTTCCATTTTGGGAGAGTCGTTTTTGATCTTTTGACTGCAATACAAGACACCAGACTCCAGGGAGAAAAACACTTATTTTACCTTATAATCATAACATCGTAACTTCATTCAAAGTGGACACAAACTAAATAAAACTCACCAAAACCGTCTCTGTTAGTGTTTCCAACAAATCACCTCTGAAACTCTTGTTTTGGTGGAAAATAGAATCCTTAAATTCACCCGTCCGTTATGTGATAAAAACACAGTTTCAAGTCCGGAGCAACGCTAATGGAAACAAACCAACAGAGAGCGGCCTGCGATACAACACAGGCAGAGGGAGAGAGACACCATGTGACTCTGTTGTTTGCTGATGTATTAATGTAAAATATTTTAATATATACAACTTTTGAAAGGTCACAAGATGATTAATGTGATAGTAAAGAAGAAAAAACATTGTTTTGTGTTATTTACTTCTTTAAGTCTTTGGTGGAACTGCTCACAACTCATAGACATGTTCAACTTGTGCTGAGGAACCACTGCTGCTGTATAGATACTATAGGCAGTATTACTTTTATTCATTAATGCTGAGCCCCTCTTACTTTGTCACAGTGTCCCAAAATCCCCAAACCCCCAAATTTCCATTTAAATTACTGTTAATAAGTTTGAAATTTAAATATGGAAAGAAACTTTAAGTGCAAGTTCAAGCAGGAAGACAATTATCATTCTAATTTTATCATCTCTCTGGGGCTCCACCTCTCAGTTGTCATCCAATTATTTCACTGGGATCTGTTAACGGCCTTTTCTCTCAACCCATTAGCATGTTAGCTGAAGGATATTAAAGCTACCTCACCTGTTTGCTCTCCCTGCTGCGACTGCAGTCTCTGCTGTTCAATCAATATATTAATCTACATGGTTAATGCCAGTTTTATTTTTACAATCCACAATTAAACAATTAAAGCTGAGTGGAGGTGCTTTTTTATGTTTATGTCCAGATTATGTATTTTTTTATTTTATTTTATTTTAATTTAATTTAAATTAAATTTGACCTTCTAGGATTGGGACCAGTGTTGCCAACTGGGTTCATTTTTAGCGAATTTTCAGACTTTATATATAAAAAGCGACTAATGACAAATTTAGTGACAAATATACTATATTATATTGTAATTTGTGCAGCCTGAATGGGAATGAATGCAGTGAAAACCCACCTCTTCTTCAGCCCAGCTTTTAACTAGGGATGGTTTTTAGACATTATTTACCATTTTTTACTCAATTATCTCTTAGTATTTTGTTTTTTAAGTATAATTGTTAATTTATTTAAACTGTGTCCTTATAAGATATATCCTTATTATTTTGTCATTCTGTCATTTATTTGTCATTTCTGCATGCTTTCTTAATTTATGTTATTCAGTTTTATAGTATAGCTTTTATTAAATCCTATTGTTATACCTGTACAATCAATTGTAATGTATTTTATTTTCATTTTTTTCTTTGTATTCTACTTTATTTAATTTTTACTGTCTTATTATCGTCTTGTCCATTGTCTGTGAAGCACTTTGAACTGCACTATACTTTATGAAAGGTGCTTTACAAATAAAGTTTGATTGATTGATAGATCCAAAAGCTTCGGGGTCTCTCCCTCTCCTCTTGGTACGCTCTCTCAGCCAGCAGTTCCTGTTTCCTGTAAATACTTGTTTATTTGATCTTCTCCCTCCTTTTTAAATAACTTTTCACTTCAAATATACAATGTCCCAGTAGTGAGTTATTAAGCTTAAGATGTATCTTTCATATGGCTGTGAGTAATAAGCTTTACACAAATACATTTGTGATGTTTTATGCGATCATCGGGTGACTTGAAAGACATTTAGTACTTGTAAGATTAGCATTTCCTGAATATTGCAGTTTAAACCATCAGGTAAATGAATATTTAAAAGCCACCTACAGTCATATCAAGAAATTAATTTAGTGCCAGATGTTTTCGCTTTATGAGCACTGATGCTCGGAAGAGCGAGGACCATTTTCGGTATATGCACCTGCGGTCAATGAGCAACCATATTTGGATTCCTCATCCATTTTTAAACCAGCTATGTTAGCCACAAACACGGTAGGCTGTTACATTAGCAGAAAGAACACTTAGTTTAGGCTTTTTCTAGATGTTATTAAGTGATAAAACACCCAAAATATAGTATAAAACATGATCTACAAGGAGAAAACATACCGTTAGCTTAACTGATGGCTTATTTTCAGTGTGTATTGTCACCTCTGTGTGTATCAGTCCTTGAAGACACTGCAGCTGTTGGGAAAGAAAGTAATCACTCAGACTAATTATATTAGCACAGATTAAAATGTCCTCAGCCCTTTAAGGAATAATTACAACCATGCCAGGAAATGCAGGCTGCACCAATCCAAAAATAATCCACAATCCTTCACTGTGAGCAAAATTAATGCTGCCGCTGCATCACTTTACTCCATAAAAACCAAACATTAAACTTAATGGGCACTTTATGGTAAGATAACAGATCGACGATGCCATTACAAACATATGTGATATACTATAACACAGGGGGCAAAGGGTCAGGGTCAGTATTGATCGCTGCTGTTTCTCATACCGGCTGTTTCCTTTCCAGTTTTATGTACGGAGAGCTGACGGACAAGAAGACCATCGACAAAGTCAGGCAGACGTTCGACAACTATGAGTCCAACTGCTTCGAAATCCTACTGTACAGAAAGAACAGTGAGTGCTCACTTACTTCATTACTTGACATTATGTCATCTGTTTTGTAACTCTGGGAGAATTATTCATAACTGTATATCCTCACGTCTGGATCAGCGGTTCCTGCTAATCAAACATCGTGATTATAGCAGCAGTCGAGTGAGCAGTAAATCCCCCTCAGCGGCGCTGGTGAGGAGCACAATGGACAAAGTGTGTAGAGAAAAATAGTTCCAAATGTTCCTGTCTTCAGAGAGTGATGACCTACGAGAGCAAAACGCGAGGTGGAGGAGCACGAGGCTCAGAGGGAGAAACAGTAAAAAAAAAAAATCAATTTTAAAGTGGTTCAAATTTGCTGACAAATCAGCAGAGTGGGGCCTTTTTTTATAGAGGCTGGATATAAATGAGATGGATGATGGCTACGAACAACTTGTATCCAGAGAAATTATGATATTAAGGTGTATGCAACTTTGCTGAACTTTGGCTTCGCCTGAAAGTGCACAAGGAGGTAATAAAGTCACAGAAACCTCAGCCGGTTCGAGGGTTTTCTCTACAGAAAGAACACTGAGTCCCCTTTAAAGTGATGACCTTAACATTAAGTTGTTAAAAGGACACGTGTGTTTGAATATGGGGTAATTTAAACATCATGTTCATGGACAGTGAGGATCAAATTGTTCTTATGAAGATTATTGGGTACAACAGGGGACAGCTCAGTACTGTAATTACTCAATTTCATTATGTTCGTCTCAAAATGTCAGTTAATTAAAGAAGATTCTTTATAAATAGGATACTAGAGCTGCGTCCCAATTCCAAACCACATACTATTGAGTATGCAGCGTTCTTATAGTGGAAAGTGAACTCAAAAATGTCAATATGCAGATTAAAACTGCTGGACTGTTCATTAGTTGTGCCACAATGCAATGCACAAAGTAATAGAGCTTTTCATCACCAGAATAATTAATTCCATGGTTACAGTCAGCTCACATTATGCATAATTTCATTATTACCAAATATTAAAATACATTTGTGTATTTAAATATTTATATATTTTGTTCTTTGGGCTTTTTCAGCTTGTTTTGTTTCTGGTAATAGACTAACCATTGACAGTAGGGTCTGCGAAGTGAAGCCTTCAGTGTTGTTCTTTGCTCTTCATCAATAAAGAAATACAGTTCTGATATAACTGATGCTAGCAGTGTCTACGTTATCATCTTTAGCTGCTGCCATCGCTGTTTTCAAGCAACAGACACCTAGCGTTAAACCACAGCGGTAGCTCATGCCGTAGCTGCTGTTATATGGCCAAAAGTATGTGGACAGTTGAACATTACACTTAGGATGATGTGAATTAATTAAGGTTTTGGTTGGAGAGTCACTTTATTAAAGAAGCGTATTTGTATTGTTGACTCATGTCTCATAACTGTCTGCAAATGCTTCCTCTATTGTGCAGCAGTTTACTAAAGCGCAGATTTGGGTGTCAGAGTTGTTCAAAGTTGAACGCAACATGAAAGATTTGGCAGCAAAAATAAATTCCAGTGATTTTTATGGAAATTAATTGTTTTTTTGTTTGTTTTTTTAAATCAAGATTTTTGCTGTTTTTAAATGCTTGTGCGACTTTAGAATTACCATATAGTTTGGGGTTTTGAAAAGGGCTCAAACGATTAACACTTAATCAATAGACACAGTAATTTGAAACGGCAATAATAAACAGCAACCATTCTCTCCTCCCAGACTCACAAAGTGGAGGATTTGCTACTTATCTCTGATTTATATCATTATAAACTGAGTTTTTGACTTCTGTCCTGACATCTAAAGATGTCATCTTGGGCTCTGGGAAATGATAATGGACAGTCTTCACTGTTCCTCCCACTGTTTATAGACTGAACAATATAAAATATTAGTTATAGACCTGATTATGAGGACACAAACTAAGATTTTCTGATGTCTCTGCAGGAAGTCCAGTGTGGTTCTACATGCAAGTGGCTCCCATCAGGAACGAGAACGACAAGGTGGTCCTGTTCCTCTGCACCTTTAAGGACATCACCCTCTTCAAGCAGCCCATCGAAGACGAAACCACAAAAGGTGAGTGTTTCACTGCAAGCAGGCAGGTGCTTTTCCTCAGGGACGCCTCCCAAAAAACATCTCTGCACAAACAACAATGTCTCTCTGCTTTTTTGAAAATTATTATGAGATGATTCACAGTAGAATTAAAAAAAAAAAGAAAAACCTGATGTTTTGAGGACATGACGTGCAGCTTATTGTGCCGAGCCACCAGAAAAAAAATCTTTTTTATGGTGTTCCTGTTTTGTTAGATAGTATACAGTGAGGAGTTACAGGAGAGAGGGAGCGATACGGGGGATGACATGTGACAAAATGTGTGAGTGGGAAGCAAATGGGTACATGGCTGGATGCCCCGGTGCGTAATGTAACGCCAGTTGGCTTCTGATAGGACATATAATTACGTTTCTTCATCCTCCTCCTCCTCCTCCTTCAACTTCTTGTTCTTTCTCTTGATGTTTTTCATTCTCCGGGTTTTTATTGTTCTCCTTTTTCATCTTCATGTTCTTCTCAGTCTCAACCTTCCTCTTTATCCTCTCTTTTCTTTATGCTTAATACTTTGATGAAATAACTGCAAAATGAATGACAATCCCATCAGCCTCAGCTTTACCGTGTGTTTAGTGATAATTAGCTAATTTTAGCATACTAGCACGTAGAGCTGCACAATTCAGTGCAATATCCAAATCACAGAAGCTGCAGTTTTCTATATAAATGTAAAACGTGTGACGAAACAGCATTATAATGTCAGTGGAAATCACTGTAGAGCTGCAGAGATGTCCTGTACTACAAAATCCTGTTCTCCAGATGTTAGAAAACATGTTTGTTTGGTACAGAAATACACAATCATCATGATTTTAATGGCTTTTACTCACACTAAACCAATGTTTCTCAAACTGCATGGAACCACTGTAGGGGGGACACAAAGTGAAACTAAGGTGAAAGAATAAGAGTCAAAGTGAAAGTGGTATGATGCAATCGTACTGACCTTTATTTCCTAAAAATCTACTTTTGGTTCTAGTATCATTGTTAATGATTGATAAAAATGGTGGCTGTGACCTTTTTATGGCTTCTGAAGGGAGAAAGACAGAAAGTGTGAGAATTAATAATGTATATGAAAAACACAATAGTTCATGTCGGCTGGTGTCTCAGCCCCAGTGCAGCCTCACAGAGCTGCTAGCATGGCTGCAAACCTGCAGTCTGGTCTTCTCCATCACATCCAGAGATTCTTCTCTTCCTCCTCCTGTTTTGTGTCAGACTTGTTCTTTCAGTTCAATTCAAAGATCCAATTTTGTCATGTGGCAAAAACAGATGTTTACATTGCCAAAGGAAGTGTAAAATATATGTACATACAGATCAGTAAAAAAACAACTTCCCCCTTCCTTTTCATGCTCTGACTGTGTGTCATCCCCTCCTCCTCCTCCTTTTCTTTTTATTCCCTTCTTGTTACTCTTTTCACTCTCCTCCTTCGTCTCTTATGTTTTAAGCCTTCTTCTTCCTCCACCTCCTCGTGCTCCTCCTTTTTTATATGCGTTCTTGCACTACTTTGTCTCTTCTTCTTCTTTCCTCTTCTGTCCTTTCTCTCCCGCTGAGAAATCTTAGGACAATTTTGCATTGCCACCAATCTCTTTTCTCCGTCCTTTTTTTCATCCAAAGCTGCAGCTGGATGAAAAAGAGCGAGTCAAGTCTTGTTTCCCTGCGATGCAGGAACGTCTCGAGCTGTCAGGTTGCGTTTGAGGAGGCTGTGATGCTGTCAGGAATCACAGGAGATGTGGGTGGCGGTGTTGTCCTCTGTGCCCTGACTGATGCGCAGTGTCAGCTTCCTGCCCCGGGAGTCGCTCTCGGCGAAGCTGAGCGGGTGTGTTTGCCCTTTGACAAGGATCCCTCACCCTTCCCCCTTTTTAATCTACACACACATGTAAACACGTGTGAACACATGCAGTGAGGTTCCCCCCCGTTGCAATTTGTTTATTCATTCATTATGTGTGCTCTGCGACACATGAATAACATGGGTTGAACATGCAATTACAGTTTGAGTGGAACTAGTATTGTCACATCAGTGCGCTCACGTCTTTGCCAGTTAGCTGCTCCTGCTGATGATGTGACAAACTTCAGATTTAGTTCTGTAATCACCCCGTCACTTAAAAAAAAAAAAAAGCCACCAGAGGTCCGGCAACCACAGTTCAGTCAGAGTATCAGAAACAAAACAACACAAAGAACGTCACCTACATGAGCCTTCTTGGAACTACGGTTGAATCAATGTAGAAAGTGTCCAACCGGTTCGATATTAAGGCAAAAATGACCATGCAGGTAATACTGAATTTTACCACTAGGTGTCACATAATGAGAGCCCAAGTCAATGAGTTTTCCACAACACGTTCCTGCAAATGTTTCACAATAAAAGCCTTATTAAAGTGTGACAAAACACCCATATTCTGCTAGCTACCTCCCTATCAGCACAGCACAGGAGAATCACTCAGCTGCCGGTAGTCAGAGCTAACTGAGCAACGAGCAGCTGCTGTCAGACTCTCTATTCACACGCTGGTCACTAGAATCACATTCATGACCCGTATGTAAACGTCTATGTCTGTTACCTGTGTTGTAGTGTTAGCTAAGCTAGTGGCTCAGAGAGGCTATTTCTGTGACTGTCAAGCTACGTTGCAGGCTGCAAGTCTGCAGAGTCGAGAAGTTAGTTTGTTTTATAGGAAGTGTTATTATATTTATACCATAATGTGTAGAATTCAAATACTTTGTGCGAAAATGTTAAGATTTGTAGGTGAATCCATTAACAACATTAGGAAATACACATTGATAGGTTTTTTAAATGAAAAAAGTGTTTTGAGAGGTTAGTTCACTCTTTAAGAAAGAGAGGGGATCAAATAGAACAGAAGCTGGACAAACAGCCAAACAGAAGCTGGCTAGCTACGTTGCTAACATAGAAAACAGAGCGAGTGAGCACAGGGTTATATTAGAGTCATATTGACAAGGGAAAATTATAGGGTCATTGTTAATTAACTTTTCAGTAACACAAAGTTAGCTAGTTACTGTGAAGATTCGGCAACACCGTGCTGCTCAGTTGCGATGTGTATTATTCGTTTTATTAGTAGTAATAGTATTTGTTAAATTAGCTTTTTTTAATGTTCAACAATGCAAATGTTACTTTTGTTCGTGTTTGTAATGTGTCTGGCTTACGTTGGAAATTGTCATTTTTGTGCAGGTTTATAGTTTTAACCATTAGTGAGCTGGCTGTTCTGGTGAATGTCACATTGGGTTGACATCACTGAGAGCTGCTTCTCGTCTCTTTTTATTTTGCCAGAGCATCTCATAATAACGAATCCCAGTACAGTCAGTTTGCATAAAATCAAACTGGTTAAGCTTGTAGACCGGACCGGAAACCGACCCAACCTGATCGTTTTGTTGTCAGTTTAAAAAGTCATATATTAGTTTAAGCTGTTTTAGTTCCCAATGTGGCTTCTGATTCATCAACAACAAGGCTCCACATTGCCATTGGTGGTTTGACTGACGTGCTGCAGCCAGACCGAAGCCAGCCAGTACACTGCGGTGTATTCTAGTACAGTACGGCTGGTTGGAGGATGCAGCATCATCCTCAGAGCGGCGTACTGTGGGCTTCAGTTTAACCCGCCTGGTTATTAGAGGGGTGGGAGAGGCCGTTTGTGAGGGAGGGAAATTCGCCGCCGCGGGCGTTGGCAGCTGAGTTCGCTCGTGCTGCAGACCTACACTTGCTCTTGGCTCCGACTCTGGCTGCTCCCGTGGCTCGGCACGCCACAACTTGTTAGCGTCAGCTGAGCGGTAGAGAGATCCCGGTCCGCTAAAGATATCCATCCTCAACTTAAAATAACAAAACAGACTGTAAATGTGTTATCTGCACCCTGTGGTCTTCATGCCCCCGTCTGGCTTAAAAATACCCATTTTTATCCCATTTTATCCAACCATCCAACACGTGGAGAGCATTGACATCATCCCAAATTTAATAGGTGCCTTTTCATTGAAATCAGAACATTTCTGATTGCTCTGTGTATGGCCACTGGTTGCGGCTATTACAGTCAGGCTGCTGTGAGCATTGTCAATGTAGGGAAGCAGTGACAACAGAAACAGGAGTGAAGATAAACAAGTGGCAGAGCAAAACTGTTAGAAATGTTGAGCATCATGTTGTTTCATTGCGGTGTTCTCTGTTCGCCATCTGTGAAGCTTTTACAGGTGCTGACAAAGCAGTTACCTCAGCCGCTGGCGAGACATCATCTCAGGTAGACAGCTGATCAGAATAAGTGAAGAGCGCCAAGGCAACAACACAGATGCCTCAGGCGTTAAACCGGAAAACATTTTAGAAGAACCTGGTTATTAAACCGTCATAGAATACATATATAATATATGGAATCATCATTTAACTCCAGTTTTCATGCAGCTTATTCAACCAATAGACGAGGATTTTGAAACTAAATACACACCCAGATGATCCTTCTGAATGAGGGGGTAAAATTCAATTAAACTTTTCTTGCATTTTTTGGTCATTTAATCAATTTCCAGGTGTTTCCATGACTGGAAAACTTGTCTCTAAATTTCCATGTTGTCCATATATTTCCAGGACACTTGGGAATCCTGTCACACTGAACTGTAAAGGTAGGTGACGGTTAATTCACTACAAACACAGTGAATGACCACAGTACCTGTTCACACGTTAGGTGCATGTAAAGGTAACTTTAGATCTGCAGTGGTTTGTTTGAAAAGGACGACGTTCCTATCTCTGAGCAACAAACATGTAAATCAACATGAATGCTGTCTTAATGTATCTGGACCTCGGAGGAGCTGTTGAGTTAATTAAACCAAACATGTGATAACCTTAGTGACACACAGTACCTGAACTCTGCTGCTCCCACTTTCCTTTAATGTCAAAAACCCTGGTTTGAAAGCTAACCCTGAACAACAATTCAATTCAATTCAACACAAAGGGAAACCCGCCCATACTAATAAATGTTAAAGAAAGATGTTAAATTTGGACAGTTGTGTGTCAGATGCCTGTATTTGTCATGTTCTGCAGTAACTGTAGGTTGAAAATTTCAGAATTCACTTTGGTGGCGCGTGCACCAGTTCTGCTCCCGTTATTTTTTTATTTCCACTTCCATTGTGCTCCAGTCTGATACATCAACTAGTATTCTTGTGTGTGTGGAGGAACCGTAGCGGGAGCATTACTATTAACCGTGAAAAAGACCTCTTATTTACTTGTCCTGCAGTTTCTGCTCATGCTCTTTTGTTGAGGTCCTTTCGTCCTTTATGTGTCAGCATGTTCGGTGGAAGCCTGTGAGCTGTCAGTACGTATTTACACCAAGACAAATTCCTCCATTTTACTTCATAATGAAAAGAGCACATTGGCTCGTTTTCCCTGCAAATGGTTCGCTGATATTTAATGCATGCACACTATACAGTGAGTTATGCAACCACAGCGACTGAATAAGTGGTATAGACAGAGCCCTTCAGACCTTCAGTAAAAGGAATAATACCATAATAGAAAACTATGCCATTAAAAGTCCTGCTAAAGCAAACATTTGCAGCAAGTGTGAACCTATCGTGGGGTCACCCATTGGTTTGTGTAGTGCAGTTTTGAAGCCTCGAGTTCGAGTTGATCGACGCTCATTGGCTGCACAGTTTTGACTCGTCCGTAGCAGGAAACCATTGCAGCTCGCCTGGTCACACACTATCTGGTATTCCAGGTAAACAGTAAAATGTGTTTGTGA